GCTGAGGTGGGGAGGGGGGTTGACGGCGGTAAAATTTAAGGGGGTTCATTTAATAAAAAATCGGATAGCCTCCTTTGCAGGACCGCACCTAAGGGCGACTTACAAAAAACTACCACCGCAAAATACAGAGGTGGCGCAGAACGGGGACTAAAGGAAGCTAGAAGGGGTTTCACACTAAATAAGACTAGTCGCAAAGCTTTCAATATTAAATATTAAGGAACATTTTTTCTTATTCAACAACAAACAGGGTACCCGTTCGGGCCGGGAATTGGTTGGTTCTTTTATAATGTTAAGAGGATTGCAAAGTTCTAAAAAGGTGCTTCTTCTTAATATTGTGAATCCAGACTCAAAAAACAATCCTAGATTCATTCATGGTATGAATGTTGTCTTGCTATTGTTTCAAAACATGGGACGTTTACTTAACTAAACTAAGTGAGTTCATTTTTGTTGACTTTAAGGTATATCTTTTGCGCAATTAGTTTTATTGTACTTTCTCTAACCATTTACATCATCTCTGATCTACCAACAACTAAGATACTAAACCAACTAGATCAGTCCTAGGATTGATATTTATGTCACGTTCCGAGTTCTGGACATTGCCGATCATGAAGTCGTTCTTGTTCAAAGATGACCACCGAACCACCACTGGGTTGTCGCGTTGTCGTTAGCGGTACAGCGGAAGTTGGGATTGGTGACACCGTAATAACCAAAGTTATCTTCGCTTGAAACTGATCCTGCAGCTGGTACGAATCCACAGCCACTAGAACTGCTGTCAGTGGTCAAGCTGTATGTGTTCAGTACTTGCCACCAGAGAGCAGTCGTGTGGATGCCGATATGTCCACGGATGTTGATGTACTCCACTTTCTTGCACACTCCATTACCAAGAAAGGTCATGATGTCGAAGTCACTGAAGTTTCCCCTGACGTAGTCCCTGTAGTCTACACCGTGTGTAGGGTAACTACACGTGGCTCTCCAGTGTGTAGAGTGACTCTTGATGGACTGCATACGAGACAACGTCTGGCGGTACAGGTTGAAGTTTGGTGCGTTCTCATTGACGGGAGCGTTTGTGCTRAAAACAGAGGACCTGAACTGACTTAATACGCGATCCTTGTGGTTCCAAGACTCGACAAGAGTCCATGCATTTCCTGGCTCGGTCTTCATATCACAGTAGACAGGAAAGCTGTTGCCAGCGTCATTATAGATTCTGTACACTCCAGATTCGGTCGCACCGGTGTTCAGGTAGTCTAGGCAAGACCTATGGAAGACGTTCTGACTGGGCTTGATAACTGGACAGCTTTTGCCCTAAAAACAAAGCAAAGATCAATTCCAAACGAACTTTAAAGTGCCTATCTCCCTTCGACAATATTCACAGTATTTATTCTACATGGGGTAAGATGTTGAATAGCACTAAAAAATTGCATAGTTTAAGTGCAGCTTCTTGAAGTTTTAAAGGTTTTTCCATGCCATATGCTAATGTCGTGACGTATGAAGAGTCATCATTTAGTATACAAAACATTACTGGCACAGATAAATTATATTTGAAATACGTCATTGTTTTTCCCATTGCTCTTATAGAAATTATTGCAAGTTAGTTTTCCCATAGAAGCCGGTGTTTCGAATTACAAGGAACAACAAATAACCATAAATGCCTCCTCATACATCACAGCATCAGCATATGAAATGGAAAAATCTTTATGCATTTCAAGAAGCCGCACTCAAACTATGAAATATTTTCGGGTTATTCCACTTCTTACCCCATGTAGAATCAACACTGAGAATATTGTCAGAAGGGTGATAGGCACTTTCAAAATGTTCATCAATCAAGCTTTTGTTTTCACGTAGTGCCCGAAAATGCCTCGTTTTCAATGTTAGTCAACGCTACTTTCAAACAAGAAAAGAATCAAATCACGGCTCGTGGATGAATTTCAACTCACGATGGACTTCATTTGTAAAAAAAGACATCTTTATTGACGGAGTACTCTGATAGTTAGAAAAAATTACATAAATATGAGAGTAGATAATTGCAGGAAAAGAACACACGCCACTTAGAAATATTAGAGCTAATTGAGCAAGTAGCTAGGTCAAACGGGACTAATAAACCAAGATTCCTATATTCCTTAAATAGGCACTCAAAAGCACAAACTATAACAACAGCAAAAAACATCAAGATACCTAATTTGTGCGTGATAAGAGAGACTAAATTTTCATTTAAGAAAGCATCCCTAGTCATTTGACTGTCTATAGAACTGGAAAAACTTACCCAAGTTACCAAGAAAATCAGCACTAGTAGCAGTGAAACGTAGATCATTGTTGCGAACGGGACATCAGCTGCAATTGAATCTCTCAAGCCTAATGTGATTTCTAAACATGATAAGTCCTATCAACTATATTTGAATAGTGACGCAGTCTTACAATACCGAATACAATTGATGGGGTGCATCCGGGTCCCTTTCAATGAGAATAAATGGACGAAAGACGTGGCTGCCATGTTGGTTGACATCACAAAAGCCAAAATCAAATATTTTGTCAAAATCAACCAAAATCTGTGGCGGTYTTGTCAGATATTATGCATGCACCCCAAGAATACAATGGTTTTGAAAAACTGCGCCACAGCTGGCAACGTTGAATTACACAACTTTATCAGCTGTGGCGCAGTTTTAGATAAGAGATAATTAATATCAGGACGCCGGGGAGGCTGAAAAACCAAACGGGGRGAGGCATGAAGTAAGAATGATGCAAAGATAGGAGGAGTAGCTCAAAGTAAATAATTCATTTTACAGCTAGGGGGGTCTCAAGTTTATTTGAAATGTATATGGTCTTAGGTTTAAAAACCAACCACGCCCTATTGTTAATGTTTGATGGAAGGTTTGAATTTCGATTGAAAACCTGTCCTGGGTTTTGAATTCAACATTGATACTAACAGGGGAGAGCGGGGCTGAATTCAACCCCAAGACAGGTTTTCTATCGAAATTCAAATCTTCCATCAAACATTAACAATAGGGCTTGGTTGTTTTTTAAACCAGTTACAACGCACTTGCTCGGCTCTTAATTGAAATTCAATGCAAACCCTCGCCCTAGCGTTTGAACCTTTATATAAAGAGCAGTCTGAGTGATCAAACCAATAAGCCTTTTCATAGTTTAAGAATCGATTCGACTGCGCATGCGATTTTATCCCGAATTTCTCACCTTCTTTTGTCTAAACCTTCTTTTGTTCTTAATTAAACAAAAGAAGGTGAGAAATTCGGGATAAAATCGCATGCGCAGTCGAATCGATTCTTAAACTATGAAAAGGCTTATTGTACGAGTGAAGTAATTTTTTCGTTGTCTCTGGTAGGCTAACCTTTTCCAACACGAATAAATGCAGGTGTACCAGAAATTAATGGTTGATGAACTTTGACTTTTTTAACTTGGGCGAAAGTTTTTCCATTTCAAATCACGTGTCAATCCCTAGAGTATCTTTTCTTTGTTTAACGGTTGTGCATGAGAAGACAGATGAATATGAATACAACTCCAACAAATGATCTTATCGGCCCTTCCTGTTAGATTTTCTTTAAGGATTGATTGACACATAGCATATAAAATAATCTAAAACTGCTTTATCATAAATGCATCTATCAATGTTAAGCTTTYGACTGGTGGGCGGGGTGGGGCGTGCCTGGGTCAGTTCTCTTATCACCCTCAGGCTAAGGTCTTAACATTGATACATACGAGAATGATATTTACATCCGTAGCTTAAGAGTCCTCACACCACTAACACATCAATAGATATATCATCGATCATTTCTGTCAAGATAGTTCAGAATATTGTCCCCATGCTCTGTTTTATCCTTCCTAAAGCTACGAGTTCTGTTTCTTGGGTGTCGAGAAGGTTTAGCAGAAGGTGGAAGAACTGCTTTTCKTGATGCTAAAACTCGTCCAATTTTGTCAATTCCGAGGTATTTGAAGGTTAATGAATCACCTTTCTTGAAACCAAGTCTTTCTGGATGAACCTGGAAAGAAAAAAGAAAACGACGTAAAGATAATGACGTTTCGGTTCGGGTTCSATTGACTGGTCTCCTCATCACATGTGAGTAGAATGTGTTGGGTCTTTTCTTTGATTTGAGGCTTTTTCTCCGGTTTTCCTCGCTCCGTGAAACTCAACAGGCTAACTTCCGAATTTGATCTTGCAGTTAGTCATGCAGTGACTGATCAACTCAGAGATTTTTTTGGGTAAGACTTGAACAAAACTTTTCTTGGCAAAAAATATTTACTCGCTTGACTCCTGCACCTTTTACTTGTGTTGCACAAGGCGTTTCACAAGGACTCTCCCCCTCTCCTCAAGTTTATTGCAGATTTTTGATGTTTTTAGTCCACTTGTTGTATTCGTTTTATCTATTTCACATACCTGTTGATGATCAAGCTCTTTTGAGTGAAGTAGCACGGTTGGACAATCTGGGAATACCTCCACCATCACACCGTATGCCCTGTAAGGCGAGACATATTTAACTGGTCAGTCACATGCGACGCCGGGCCCAGAAATTGAGCCGAGACCTCAGAGGTGAGAGATGTCCTGATGAATGGATGATCAAGGAATATCTATCTTACCTTATTTCTACAATTCTACCTTGATAAATCGCTCCCACTTCTAAACGTGAGGAYAAGTCCTTAGAAGAAAGAAAAACGAGTAAAATGAGAAAATATCCTGCGGTTACGAAAGAAGGAAGGCAAAGAAAAGAAGAAAAAACTACGATAGAAAACCTATGGAAAACAAAGTAYGATTTAAGATGGGATGGAGTGGGAAGGGAAGAAAGTGGATGGGAGGAAATAGAATTAAGGAGAATTATAAATTAATAAAAATAAAGTGAAACGACTTTTCTCTCTTTCCAAAACCAAYCCATCCCTTTTCTATCTGTATCTTTTGCATCACTTCTCAATCTTACTCCTTCCTTGCTTAGTTGCCCATTCTTTCCCATCCCTTTCCTCTTCTTTCTCTTTTTTTCGTCGTCGCTGGTATTTTTYATTTCTTTAGCATAATATAGGACGAATAACTAACCTCGAAGATGCTCTTTTCCACTAAGAGTTCATCGATTCTTTTGATTGTTTCATTGTATGTAACTTTATTGGGTGCAAATAAAGCATATTCTTCTTCGTTTACTTGTGTGAGGGTGATTCCTGTTAAGAACATGGAAAGCATATRGAATCTGTYATATAGATGATGTTGGYGRTGATAATGTTGTTGATGATGGTGACGGTGATGATAATAATGCTGGTGATGATGATGATGGTGGTGATGATGGTGACGATGGTGATAAAGAGGATGATGATGATGTCGTTATTGATGATAATCATAGTGATGATGGTGGTGGTGATAAAGATGATGATGATGATATCATTGTTGATGATGATGGTAATGATGATGGAGATGATGGTGGTGGTCATGATGATGGTGGTCATGATGTTGTTGATGATGATGGTGGTCATGATGTTGTTGATGATGATGGTGATCATGGTGTTGATGATGATGGTGATGATGATGATGGTGATGATGGTAATGATGATGATGGTAATGATGATGATAACCATGTTTTTTTCATACCTAGCTCTTGTTCCAATCCTTTTATCACCATCCCACCAAGACCTATAAGTTTACCTCTCTTCGCRGCAGGAACAGTAATTATACCTTCAACAAAAATACAAATAATATTATCTATTAAACTATCAATATTTAATTATTCGAAAATACTACAACTTCATAGGTGGCCACTTTATAGATGTTGGCCGCATGTTAGAGGTTGGCCTCTTCATAGAGGGTGGTCACTTTATAGAGGTTGGCCGCATTATAGAGTTTTGCCTCTTCATAGGTGGCCGCTTTTTATTGGGTTTACTATACTTGCAATGGTCGGTTTACCTGATGTTGGACAGTTTTCTTTCCTTGTCGGTCTTGCTTCGTTTATTACATTATCCATGATATCTAATACTTTGATTCGATCCTCTACAAAACAACAAAGTTATGTTGAGAAAACATTTGTGGGACCAATAAGGTGGTGTTACTGTATGTAATGTTCGTTGAAACTTGTCTCGCAATTTTTTTGCCRGATACAAAAAGTGCGTTGTAGTTCAGTTGCATCGACAAGGTATGTTACTCCAGGCAAAGTTTCATGCAAATTGWACCACAGATTCGACCGTGGCAAATAGTAGACTGAAGCAATAAAAATCACGCGTTGAGAAATACGTTGCAGGAGGGGTGTTACACCAGTCAGTCTCGAAAATGTTGCCACCATCGTTAAAAAAGTAGAACTTGATTCTACWTCTCGCAACGTTTGCGGCAAGGCTGYAACAAGACMAAGTAATATATCGTGCAGCTTGACAAGATGCAAGGGGCATGCAYTTTATAGCGTAACGTCGCCTCATRMACCAAAAATATACAGAACCAACCTGAGCCTCGTTTAACAGCTTCTTCTATTATATGCATTGGAAGGCCAGGGACTTTGAAATCTGCCTTAAGAAAACGACGTGTTATTCATATGACAGATAAGAAAAACTAGAGGTTAGAATATTCGAATGTAGTAAGGAGTGKGTATKAAGGATAYACGTCCCCACAGATYTARTTTTYTAYTGCAATTTGAAGGAAGATTTTTCTATTTTTTTCTTACTTGTAAAGATGTTATTCCTTGTCGTGTTCCTGCTATTTTAAAATCCATATCACCAAGGTAATCCTCTATTCCCTGTTAAGAGATATTCAGGAAGGTTGGTTAATAACTCACAGAGATAGAGGTTTGTAGGGATTGGTGGAATTTCAAAACCAGTCATGTTTAGTCATCTATCATTGTTCATCATCATCTTGATGGTTAACTCGTTGTTGCTGTCGTTGCTGCTGCTGTCGTTGCTGCTGCTGTCGT